GAGATGCCCCACGACCGAGCAGCCATACTTACTGTGTGCCCAGGGAGAAGCTGCAAGGGACAGGCTTTGGCACGTTTCAGAGCTGGGATGGGCTGGAATTTGCCCCTGGAAGTGGGCTCTGGAGGGCAATAGACATCTTGTGGCCAATCGGGTGGTGGGTGGAGGTCTTCACCCCGGCTAGCAAGATTCTGGCTCCAGGAAAGTGGGGTTCCCAGGCCTGGGCTGGCTGGGAAGTCAAATCCTTGGAGCCGTGGAGGGACTCCAGAGAAAAAGGACGTTATTTTGCTGGGGGCAGGAGGGAGGGGAGAGGTTGGAGTTGATAAGCTTCTCATAAGCCTGGAGCCTGGCGTAGAGGGATGACAATGCGGGTATTTAGCAGGGCAGTCAGGGACCCCTGAGCTGTGACGGGAAAGAAGGAAGCCCAAGACTGAGGCCTCTTGTCCGCCTCGGAAGGCGGCTCTTCCTTCAAGGGTCTCAGACTCCGGCGGTCAGGGGCCCCCAGCCGTGCCACACCCCGTGTCCCATGCACATAAAGGGCCTTCCCTTTCTTCCGTCCCCGGCAGGACAGGCCCGTGACCGCTCACCCGGCACTCTCCCATAGGTGCATGCAGATGCGAGCGTGTGTCTGATTCTAAGGAAGTAATCCATTCTTGCACAATACAACAAAAGGTACCAAAAGCTACAGAGTGACGAACGAGTCCCGTCCCACCCCGTTCTTCTTCCTAAAGCCTGACGGGAGCCAGTTTCTTCCGTAACCCCCTAGACAAAAAGCCTGTGGCTAGACAAGCAAATACATTTTTATGCTCCGAGGAAATAGAACGTGCACAAATGGCAGCAGATTACGTGTCCGTTCTGCACCTTGCTTGTTTTCACTTACCGGTAGTTCCCCAAAATCGTTCCAGAGCCTGATGCTGTGGAGAATTCTCTAGCGTAGAAGTGCAATCATTTCCTGTAACCAGTGCCCTCTTGACGGACATGCAGGTCATTTTGGAGCTTTCACTGTTACGAAACATAATGCTGCTAGGGGCGCCCGGGTGGCTCAGTCAGTTTGAGCACCGGACTTCGGCTCAGGTCATGATCTCGCAGTTTGTGGGTTCGAGCCCCGCGTCAGGCTCCAGGCTGACAGCTCAGAGCCTGGAGCCTGCTTCAGATTCTGTGTCTCCCTCTCTCTCTGCCCTTCCCCGGCTCGCTATCTCTCTCTCTCTCCACCCCCCCCCTCAAAAATAAACATTTAATAAA